TGGCCCGTCCACGCTGCGCACGCCAGCCGCGTGCACTGCCCGTGCATCCGCGTGTAGCCCTTCAGCGCCCATCTCGTGCGCACTTCGCTCCAGCACACGTACTTCTACCGTTGCTCGTGCTTGCCTCTTGCGTGCGTGATAGGCCCGGCTAGCCGCGTTCTTGAGCTGCCTAGCCACTTCCGCATCATTCCCGTCCCCTTCAAGTGATTCCTTGTCCTCAAGGATAAAGTTCGGGAATTGATCACGTATCTCTTCAAGATCCTCCCACGTGGCTTCTTCTGGTGGAAGCTCTTCCCAGTCAACTAGCACCTCCCAACGATATCGTCATGCCCTCTTTACCTTACGGTACTCAATTGCTCGTTTTGGGCGCACTATAGCTCTGCCGTCGGTTGCCGTTGCTGGTAGCTCCTCACAGTACTTCTGTGCTTCTCCTAGGCTTCTTTTGAGCTGTGAAACATGTATAACCGGGTTGATCTGCGAATTTTCTGGTAACTCCAGACGATAAGCTACCTGACCAATGCGTTTCAAGATCTGATACGGTCCATAATAACGAACGCCCAGCTTAGTAGCTGCCCTTTGCGCAGTCGTGCGTTGTCTGAATGGTCGAAGCTTCAGATAGACGTACTCTCCTGGTACAAAATTTTCCTCACGCATCTTCCCATCAGCGAAGGACTTGGTCCGATTAATCGAGCCTTCAAGATTTCTCTTCAGTTCTCGCAGCATCAAATCTCGTTCCTCAAGCTCACGACCAACCTCATTGTTGACTGTGTTCCCCTCAGAATAATTGATCAGGGTTGGTGGTTTTCGTCCATATACTAACTCGAATGGCGTCATCTTGGTCGACTCGTGGTAAGTGGTGTTGTACCAATACTCAGCCCATGGTAAGAAGTTTTCCCACCTCCTTGGAAACTGATAAACATAGCACCTTAAGTACTGCTCGAGTGTCCGGTTAGTTACCTCGGTTTGCCCATCTGTCTGGGGGTGGTATGCTGAGCTCATAGATAACTTGGTCCCTTGAAGCTTAAAAAATTCAGACCAAAAACTGCTCATAAAGATCCGGTCTCGGTCAGAGACGATAGATCGAGGTGCTCCATGCAGTTTCATCACATACTCCACGAATTACCTGGCAATTGACTTTGCGGTGTAAGGATGGGTAATGGGTATGAAGTGAGCGTACTTCGTGAGACAATCCACCACAACCATAACACCGTCAAACCCATTAGAATTTGGTAGCCCCTCGATGAAATCCATGGTGATGTCTTCCCAGATTGCCTCGGGTACTGGCAAGGGTTGTAACAGCCTACCTGGCCGTCGCGAGTCAGACTTAGTACGCTGACAATCGTCGCATCGTGCTATGTAGTCCCGGACGGTACCTTGCTGTCCTGGCCAGAAGAACGTGTTGGCTATCCTCATCCACGTGCGATAGATACCCGAGTGGCCTCCAACCTTGGAGTCATGGAAGTGCTGCAAAATCTGCTCGCGTAACTGCCCACTGTCGGGGACATAGACTCGACCTCGGTGTAGAAGTAGATCGTTATGCAGCTCGTAGTCGATAGCAGTTGTCTTTCCTGCTTCTATCGACTGGCGCAGTTCCTGGCAATGGGTATCCTCTACTTGCGCCTTCCTGATCTCCTCCCAAATGGCCCAAGTAGGCCCAGTGATCGCACTCAACTCGGCCACGTCTGTTCGCCGGGATAGTGCGTCGGCTACTGCGTTCTGGCGACCTGGTCGATAGATTATCTCGAAATCAAACCCCATAAGTTTAGACACGAACTTCTGTTGCTCGGGAGTAACAATTCTTTGCTCCAATAGGTGCTTGAGCCGTTGCTGATCGGTAACAATCTGAAATCGCCGGTTTAGTAGATAAGGCCTCCAACACCGTACAGCCTCGACAACTGCTAACATCTCTTTCACGTATACTGACAGACCCAGTCGAGTAGTGCCCAGCGCTTTGCTGAGATAGGCTAGGGGTCGCCCCTCCTGCACTAACACAGCCCCAATTCCAATGTCGCTTGCATCGGTATGTACCTCGAACAGGACATCAAATCTGGGCATGGCGAGTACTGGCGTTGTTGTCATAGCTTCCTTTAATTTTCCAAACGCCTTCTCGCTAGCTTCGGTCCATGTGAACCCGCCTTTCTTAGTCATCGCTGTCAACGGTTTGGCGATGGTTCCATAATCCTTTGCAAACTTCCGGTAGTATCCTGTAAGCCCCAAAAATCCTTTCAACTGTGTGAGACTAGTTGGCTTAGGCCAGTCGACCATAGCCTCAATTTTTCGTGGGTCGACCTTCACACCGTCATGTGATATGAAATGTCCAAGATATTCAACCATCTCCGGCCCGAATGAACACTTGGACGGCTTGATGTGGAATGAGTTGGCCTCCAGAATTTCGAGAACTATCCTTAGATGCCCAAGATGTTCGTCCCATGACTTTGAATAGATCAGGATATCGTCAAAGAATACCAGAACGAACTTACGCAGGTACTCCTTGAAAATAGAGTTCATGGCGAACTGGAAAGTGGATGGGGCGTTGCACAAGCCGAATGGCATAACCAGATACTCTTAGTGCCCCTGGTGTGTATGAAAGGCTGTCTTTGGGATGTCAGCTTTGTGAAGTCGAATCTGATGGTAGCCAGCTCTTAGATCGAGCTTAGAGAAATAGCATGATCCAGCTAACTCATCAAGCATATCGTCGACACTGGGGATTGGAAATCTGTCCTTGATGGTTACAGCGTTTAGAGCTCAATAGTCAGTACAGAATCTCCACGTGCCGTCTTTCTTTTTAGCCAACAGAACTGGAGAAGAGAACGGACTCTTGCTATGCTGTATGAGACCTGATTCAAGCATCTCGGCCACTTGCCGTTCGATCTCGGTTGCGTACCTATAAGGATGGACATGTATGGCATGTTGTTCATTGACCAACGGTATGCGATGGTCGAACTCTCGGTGCGGCGGTAGTCCTTTGGGCTCGCCCAGGACTCCTTCAAATTCTTCGAGAAGCTCACGCACATCTCCCTGTTGTTGCGCGTCCTTGCCCGAGTGCGCTCCCACATCTTCGACTACTACGGCAAAGATTTGGCCTCCACCACGCTAAACTTTCTCGATGCTCTTCAACCCTACTTCCTTTGCTTCTTGGTCAGTGCTGGTGCTGAGGGGGACCTGACGACCTTCGGAGTTGAACTCCATAATTCCTGTTCGATAGTCGGTCGTCACCTTGCCCAGTCCTTCGAGCCATTGGACGCCCAGCACTACATCTGGTCCAACCAGGGGTAAGGCATATAGATCAGCCTTCACCGTAACTCCGCTAAACCTGATTGGCACCTTCCGGAAGGACTTAGTGCATTGCAGCCTCTCCCCGTTGGCTACCCGTACCTCAAAGGGTTCAATATTCATATTTGGCAAGTTCAGTTTTTGAGACAACTCGGCGTTCATGAAATTGTGGGATGACCCGTTGTCTACTAGCACCATCACCTTTCGATCCTTGACC